TTAAAAAAATAAAATAAAAACAAACCTGATTCCCAAAACTGTAATCTGTCTTGCTTTATATGGAATAGAAGTTTGAGTCTACCCTTTCTCCACACATATTCCTAGGAAAATCTTTTAAATCACAAATTATTCCCCTTTGTAGACAAATACTTCTTGAGCATTTCTGAGGCTTCACAAACTGATTTACATGTATCACCTCATTAGATTATTCCAACAACATTATGAAAATGAAGTTCAGAGAGGTTTAAGTAATTCTCAAGTTGGGATTTAAACCCAGGTAAACTGGATTCCGAAGTTCATTTTTCCCTCTATACTGTTTCCCTATATCTCCAAATACAGACTAAATTTTATGTTCTTTACTGTGCCTAATACATAATAATATCCAGTAAAAGCTGACTGACACTGATGAAAAATAAGAAACACTCTCCCAAACTGAGTCCCTTATCTAGTATAGGATATAAAGCAGGCTGCTTTCCTGGGGAAAATCCTCCCTGCCTACCCCATTCCTACCGTATCTCTGGTTTAGCAATTTAGTCCATCAGGAAGGGCATTCATCTGTTTATTCTTCCCAGTTTCCTTCTGCAATTTCCCAGCCCAGCAAAACATCTCTAACTCAGGATGGCCCTGGGGACAAAGCAAATCTGTTAATACCCTAGAGACAGCAGTTTCTATGGACGTGGAATGATGATCCAATATAATCTTTCTCAGGAATTATTTTCTTAACTAGAACGGGAGTAAAATTCACTGTTTTATTGAGAAAAATGCCTCTGGGAATGAGGACCAGTCCTCATGGAGTTAGAACCAGGTCTCCTGGCACTTACATGGTTCAGCCACTTGGTAAGTAAAAATAACGATAAAACTTCATCTGTATTCCCCCAGATAGGCCAAAATCATCACTTCAATTGACAGGATAGCTCCAACCTTTTCAACTATGGCATTTAACAGTTCTTCATTTAACACCTGATCCCCTACTGAAGACAGTGGGTCCCTGTTCTCATATTGTATCAGTTTTAATGCTTTAGTTTGTAACAGAAAACCCAACCAATAGTGGCTTAACCAATAGAAAATTTATTATTTTACATACCATACTGGGTGGTAGGGCAGTTCCAAAGTTGGCTAATTCAGTGGCTCAACAAGGTCATCAAAAACCAGATTTTTTTCCATTTCCTACTCTGGCATACTTAGGATGTTGGCTGTTGGCACCTACTACTTCATATTAGACTCACAAGCCTATGTGTTTCCTTAAAATTGCTGCCTGACGGTTGGCTGGTATGAGGAAAACAATGTTCTCATAACCACTTTGGAAGACAATCTAGAAATACCTACAGGATTTTTTAAAAATGTGCATAATCTTTGATCTAGCAATTCCATTTCTAAGAATTCATCCCATAGAAACATGCAAGTACATAAAAACAGGTACAAAGATATCATTACAAAACTGGTTTTAATAGTAAAAAAATTGGAAACAGCCTAAAATACTCATCAATAGGGGAGAGACTAAATTGAGATCCACACAATGGGATAGCTCACAGCTGTTTCACATGGAAAAATGTTCAAATTTTGTTGATAAGAGTCAAGTTCAGAGCATAAAGAAGTAAAACTGCCAAAATAAAAAATAAACTAAACTATACATATTTGTAAAGAGTTTTAGAAGGATAAGCACCTAACACTGAACAGTTATGTTATCTCTGGAGAAAGGTGGTGGGGAAAAGAGGAACTTTTGTTTTCTACTTTATATCCACCTGTACTGTTTGGATTTTGATCATAAACACGTACGGTTATCTTATAGTTGCATTTTTAATAGTTCCATTGGATATCACTTTTAAGTTAAAATTGAACTTTAGGTACTACTAGACTTAGGTTCTCATGCTGCCTTAAAAGAAGTTTTACCAAGCATCTCCTCACAAAAGCACATGAATTGGTGATTACAGTTGGTTCTAAAAGACATAACTAGGTAAGGAAAAGTTTCTATGGCATCCAGTTACATGGGAAGCTGCCTACTAGGCTTACCCCAAGAACTGTCCAGGACACTTTCTGGCCCATACTGCCTTAGTCCAAATTAAACCGAGATCCACTGCCTAATCCTGAAATTGTTTGACAAATGCAATACAATGACAAGAGCTGGTGCCTGCACCAGGACTTTCAAACTATTCTTATCCTTCCTTCTCCCTATCTACAACTAATAGAAAACAAGGCCAGCACCAGTGCTTACTTTTCAGAGCTGGTTCTCTACTCCATCCACCTCCCCTTCAAGAATGTACAAGAGAGTTAGTGGGTGGTTAGCAAGACCCCCTCAGAAACCAACAGCCATTCTAGAAAAATAATTGCTCACATACTGAGGGCTGCCAGCAAGAGCAGCTTTCCAGCAGTATGTTTTAGTAACCTTGATGAAACAGAGAGCAACGCCTCCTGTAATACAAATTCTGGCTGGAAGAAAAGCTCTACAGATTGTGGAAAAGTACAACTTAAAAAGGAAACACCACAGGCTCCAGTAAAGCAGAAAAGCAAGCAGAGACTTCTAAATACAGAGCTCAATTGTAAGAGTTCACTGTACCTTATTTCTCACTATCATCATTTGCTCAGTCAAAAATAGAACCTTCCACGTCTTGATCCATTCAGAATAAGCCACAGCAGGCAAAGCTCTGTTTACACGGGGCAGCCGGGTCAGAGAGGCAGCACAGGGAAATGGAAAAAGCAGACAGCAGGTTTTCTTAGGGATTATACTGCTCCAGCTTTTATCCTTCTTCCCAGCTATTTTGGTGCCAAGAAAGCTGCAGGGAGGTCTTTGCTCTGCTATGAAAAAGCTCCAATCTTTTCACCAAAAGGGTTGAAACAGTCTTGGGGCTGCAACTCCCTCTGCTGCCCAATGTTTTCTCTGCATGCTATAAGCAGGTTCAACGAAATTCAAAAACTCAAATGTTAAAAGAGCTAAACCAAAACCCCACTGCCGTTGAGTGGATTCTGACTCGTAATGTTCCTATAGGACAGAGTAGAACTGCCCCATAGGGTTTTCAAGGCTGTTAATCTTTACAGAAGCAGATTGCCACATCTTTCTCCCACAGAATGGCTGGTGGGTTTGAACCTCAAACCTTTCCATTAGCAGCCAAGTGCTTTAACCACTGTGCCACCAGTCCTCCTCAAAAGAGCTAAAGCAGCCTTTTATTTCAAAATATGACCAAAAAGTTCCAGCTCCATCATTTACCAGTGAACTTGCGGAAAGAACTTAAAAACGTTGGCCCTCGTTTTTCTATCTGTAACAGTGGGATGCCTTCACCCTTCACAGGGCCACCATAAACGAGGTAATGTATGAAGCAGTGCCAGTGTAGGATAGCTCCCAGTTACTACCTTAATGGGTTAAGAATGTGCACGATTTTAGCTGATTTGGAGAGCAAGTTTACTACAGAAGAAAGAGAAGCTAGGAGTTAAATTTCAGAAGCAAATCATAACAATGTCCCCTAATAATATTTATGGGTAAACTGGTATCTTTCATTTGCCCAAAAGTTCCCACACATCTCCAAAATAAAGTCTCTTGGGGTGTATAAAATGATCTTATAATAAAAAATGAACAGATGGATATACAGAAAAAAAATGACCAAAAACGCAAGAGTGTCAATAGGAGAGAGGCATAGTTGGAATGCCAAATTCTAAACGGGACTGACTACCACGTTCACCTACAACTGTCTCAGGAAGGGTTTCTTTTACTCAGTTTGTCTTTTTTTTTTTAACACAAAACAGCAGGAATTAAATTATTTTAATTCTTCAAAGCTAATTTAAAATTTAAGGGATGCCATTACATGAAATAATAGGTAGGAAATGTAATCGAAACCACTGGGAGCAGCTGGTCATCCTTTGAATTAAAGAAAAAAAAAATGCAATCACTGACGATTTGTAAATGTTTTTTCATCTGTGAACAGAGGGATTTAAAACTCTGCTCTCTTCAGTATATTTAAAAGGGGAAATGAGTTTGGGAGTTGCTGCATCTTTGTGTACGGAGAGCCACTGTGCATAATTGTAAAAGCAGTTGATAACCGATTCTGCTGTTGATGGTAACAAGCTGACAGCCTGGAATACTCACACTCCCATTATCCTTAATGGGGCTGAGTCTCCTGTAGCCACACAGGGTTCCCAAAATTGCTACCCAGCAGCAATGTGACAATGATGTGAGGTCTCCCAAGCTCCTGTCCTCAATTTGTAAGCACGCGTATGATAAATCTTAATTCACTCATCACACCTTGACCAAACTCCTCCTGTCTCAGGCACTGTTCCACTGCAGTGGGCAAGACAGACCACAGGCCTGACCTCATGGAGGTGCATTCTAGTGGGAAGAGACAAACAAAAGCCAGGGGTTCTCAAACGTGGCCATGCATTAGTTATGGAGGACACTTCAAAAAAATATAGATACACGTACATATATACGTGCATACACATACATATGGTGCCAATGGCTGCTGAGTCAATTCTGACTCACAGCAACCCCATCTGGCAGAGAACTGTGCTCCACAGGGTTGTTTTGTTTTTATCGTGCTTTAGGTGAAAGTTTATAGACTCAGTTTCCCATTCAGTAGTTTGTACGTGAAGTGTTCCATGACACTGGCTGCATTCCCCTCAATGTGTCAGCACTTTCCCCATTTCCGTCCTGGGTTCGTTTTCCTTCATCTGGATTTTCTGCCATCTCATCTTTGCTTCTGGGCAAACAACCTTTTAATCTTGTATAATTGATTGTTCTAAGGAACACATTCCTCTCAGGTGTTATTTTATGGTCCTATTGTTTGGCTGACAGTCTCCGGGAATGGCTTCAATTCCAAGTCAGAAGGGTATCTTAGGGCCGTTGTCTCGGAGGTTCCTCTAGTCTCTGTCAGAACGGTAAATCTGGTCTTTCTGTGAATTTGATTTTTTATTCTACATTTTTCTCCCGCTTTGTCTGGGACCCTTTGTTGTGATCCCAGTCAGAGCAGTAGGTAGTAGTAGCCAGACATCATCTGGTTCTTCTGGTCTTGAAGTGGTTGAGGCTGTGGTTCACATGGTCCATTAGTCCTTTGGACTAACTGCTCCCTTGAGTCTTTGGTTTTCTTCACTGTCCTTTGCTCCAAACAGGTCTTTTCTCAGTTTAAAGAATAGTTCTGTATCTCCCTCATGATGGTGTTGTTGTGTGCTGATGAGTCAATCCCAACTCATAGCGCCCCTATGTGACAGAGTAGAACTGCCCCATAGGGCTTTCTTGGCTGTAATCTTTACAGGAGCAGACTGCCAGGTCTTTTCTGGAGGAGCTGCTGGGGGGTTCAAACCACCAACCTTTCAGTTAGCAGCTAAGTGCTTAATCACTGCACCATCAGGGCTCCTTTAGCTCCCTGGAAAAGCAGGAGGTGGACTTCTAAGTCCTCCTTTCTTAACAATACTGCCTATTGGCAGAATTTAAGGTAGGTCTTATGGTGCACATGGTTAAGCACTGAACTACTAACTGAAAGGTTGACAGTTCAAACCCACCGAGATGACCCTCAGCAGAAAGGCCTGGTGATCTACTTCTGAAAGGTCATGACCACAAAAACCTACGGAGTACTGCTCTGCAACACATGGGGTTGCCAAGAGTTGGTATCAACTTGACAGCAATTGGCTTTTTAAATTCATCTTTAAGATCCAATTTAATAGCATTTAGCACACAATATTGAAACTATTTGTTTACCAACATGTCTCACTGTATTTACTCATCTTTGTATCCCCATCCCGTGTCTGTTTGTTATGGTTCGAAACCCTGCTGAGAATTTGCATTTCTAACAAGTTCCCTGCCAAGAATTTGCATTTTCACCTCAAATATACTTATGTATAACTTTCCTAAAAAGTTACACGTAAGAATCACTTAAGGAATCTTGTTAAAATGTTGATTCTGATTCAGTATATTTAGGGTGGAAATGCAAATTCTCAGCAGGGGTTTGAACACAACAACCAGTTCAAAGCTCTAGTCTAGCTAACAGCAAGTACTCAATAACCACTAATTTAACAGAATTCTAACTAGAAGCACCCTGAGATACTGGTGGAGAGATTGAGCCACATATGAATTCAGTAAGAAATATGCCATTACTTGGGGAGGAACCAAAATTCTTAAGAGATGAGAACAAGAAACAGGTGTTTCCACAACTAACACGTTATTATTCTGCCTAACAATTTACCAGTTCTGCTTGTGGTCTTTTTCAGACTACGAATCTCACAGTCTCTCTCCCTTTAACTCTTCCTCCCCCTCCCCTTAACTCTTAACAGAGCCCAATTTTAATGCATTTTTAAGGCACTTCATTCTTTGCGTATACCCAAATACTTCTCACATTCTGATCCTTATAAAAGAATTCACAAAGATCTTACCTAGTGACCAAAGCTATTAAAATGTCTCCAACCTATTTTGGTTTGGAACCGTAGTATTCCAGTATCCAGAATTAAAACTGGTAAGAGAGACATGTATTAGTGCAAGAACCTTTGTTCACTTTTGTGGTCCCTCTCTTTCCTCCTTCCCAATATCAGAAACTTACCTGCCAAGGAGAATTTCTACTCTTTGCCTTAAGAATCTATAGGCCCATGTGCTGAAAAAAACAAATGTCCAGAGCAGCAGCCACACTTCAGAAAGCTTTACAATAAATACCAATAGCTAATGGTGCCAGTGTGTAAAAAGTCTCTACCACTGGCTAGAAAGAAACAATAAAAAAAAATTTAATAAAAACAATTCCACAGCAATTTATTGTTATCTGGTAATAACATAAGGATAATCAAAACAATATGAACACGTGTTTTAGAACTATATTCCTAACGAAGGACACCTAAAAGGGGTGTGTCTGTGCTACTGTCCTGAACAACTTCTCACTTCATGACCATTTCTAGTTGGATACACTTTGTAGCAGAGTAATATTATCTCCTTTTAGCATGATCCGACCTGCAAAAAAACCAAAGAAGTTATTAATAGCTACACACAGAGACGACTATATAATTTCTCTTATGAAAAGTATGTGAATATTTTCAAGTGTCCCTATGTTAAAAGGCTATCAGGTTCCGTAAGAGTGTATACACTTTTTCAACAATAATGTATTGAAGGTTGTTATTTTATGGAAAATACAATTCACCTTCTATAGCCTAAGTCAACTAAATAGATCTACCCCAGCATTTCCTAACGCTTTGGGGTTTGTAAAAGTTTGGAAATGAATTGTGTGCCAAGTTGAGAGCTGTTAGCATATTAAAGACTCCATCCTGCAGTAAACACACTTGTTTTAAATTTTACCCAACATTCCTAAACTTATTTGAGCAGAGAAGACCTTTTCTGGAGAATGCCTATAAACACGTTGAGGAACACTAACATTCAATCTAACAGTTCGGGAAATGGTAACCAGCTCCAATAATGTTTCACTTTCCCAAGCTTCTATAAGTAGGCAGCACATAAATCTCTTCCACAGGACAGGTATTTAACACATTGCAAATAATTTATAAATAATAGGAACTCAATAAAGCTAGCCTGCTTTTCTTGACAATACATCTTTAAATTTGAAAAATAAAGCCTTTCGTAAAAATATTAAACAGGAAGAAGCATAGCAAAACAGCACACCGTTTCTCACAATCTACTTTTCACTATCTAGTATAGGCTCAAGAGAATCCACAGGGTCTGGAAACAAGAGACACCTGAAATCCACTACCACTGGTGAAAGTAGTGCAATGTTAATAAAAATGCTTCCGTTTGTCTTAGTGAAACCATGAATACTAAAGACTCTTTGTTAACTGGATTAAGAAATTGCATCCTTATTCATTGTTCAAATATTTGAGTTTTTACTATGTACCAGGCATGGAGTTAAGCACTGAGCAATTGGCACAGAGTATGAGAGTAAAAAACTCCCCCACAATTCATGCACTTAAAGAGCTTCTGATCTAATGGGAAAGACATCAATAAAAGAATCCACTAATGAATATTTTACTATAAACTCAGAGAGCACATCATAACCTATCCCTCCTCAAGCAAAGCAAAGCAAAGCAAAACAAAACCCTGGGCTTTCGGAGGAAATACTATTTAAAATCTGAGTTCTAAAGACATAGGGAACAGCATACACAAAGGTTTGTGGTAGGACAAATGTGCAGATTTAAAAAACTGGAAGAAGACAAGTGTGGCTGAAACTCACAGAATGATCCAGAGAGTCATATGAGATGAGCCAAAGGGAGATAATGCCAGATTATGCAGGGCTTTGCAGAACACATTAAAGATTTTTTTTTAATCGTAAAAGATTTCAAGCGAAGGAATGACAAGATCAGAATGGTGTTTTTTTTAAAGATGACTGTTGGCAGCCTGGAGAGCAAACTGGAGGGGGATGAAGAGGTTGCAGAGAAATCAGTAAGCTCAAAGTTTACTGGTGCCATTCAGTAAAGCAGGGAACACTCAAACAGTTCTAAGGAGTGTGTGAGGGGTCGGAACTGAGTTTGATTTGTGATATGCTGACTTTGAGAAGCCTTTAAGACATTCCAGTGGAAATGCTGAACAGACTCACAGGTGAGGTCTGGGTTACAGACATAAACTTGTGAGTCACTATATAGATAATAATTGAACCAGTATTGTTCACAAGAGCAAAAAGATCGAAACAACCTAGGATGCCCATCAACATACAAATGGATAAACAAATTTTGGTACGTACACACAATGGAATGCTACTCAACAATAAAAGAACAATGATGAATCCGTGAAACATCTCACCACAGGGATGAATCAGTCACAAAAGGATAAACATTGTAAGAGAACACCATTATAAGAACTCCAGAGAAGGTTTAAACACAAGAAAAGCATTCTTTGATGGTTACAAGGGTGGAGAGGGAGGGTGAGGGGAATTCACTAACTAGATAGTAGACGAAGATCAACTCTGGTGAAGAGAAGGACAACACACAATACAGGGGAAATCAGCACAACTGGACCATAGCAAAAGCTACTAAGTTTCCTGGACACATCCAAACACTTTGAGGGACAGAGTAGCTGGGGCTGGGGCCTGGGGACCATAGTTTTGGGGGACATCTAGGTCAACTGGCATAACTAAGTTTATTAAGAAAATGATCTGCATCCCACTTCAGTGAGTGGCATCTGGTGTCTTAAAGCTTGCAAGCAGCCATGTAAGATGTATCAATTGGTCCCATCTGACTTGGAACAAAGAAGAATGAAGAAAACCAAAGACACAAGGAAAATAACAGCCCAAGAGACTGAAGGACCACAGACACCAGAGAATCCACCAGCCTGAGACCAGAAGAACTACATGGTGCCTGGCTACCACCAATGACAGCCCTGACAAGGAACACAACAGAGAGCCCAGACAGAGTGGGAGAAAAGTGTGGAGCAGAACTCAAATTCACGTAAAAAGACCAGACTTAATGGTCTGACAGAGGCCAGAGAAACCCCTGAAACTATGGCCCCTGGATGCTGTTAACCCAGAACTGAATCTACTCCCAAAGCCCACTCTTCAGACAAAGAGTAGACAGGACTATAAAACAAAAAACAATACACATGAGGAGTATGCTTCTTAGTTCAGTCAGATACACTAGACCAAATGGGCAGCTCCTGTTCGGAGGCAGGATGAGAAGGCAGAAAGGGACAGAAACTGGTTGAATAGACACAGGGAACCCAAGGTGGAAAGGGGGAGTATGCTGTCACACTGTGGGGATTGCAACTAATGTCACAAAACAATATGTGTAAATTTTTGTATAAAAAATTTAACTTGAGCTGTAAAGTTTCACCTAATACACAGTAAAAAAAATTAAAAAAAAGAAGCAATTGAAGTTGTATTCTTGAATGCCCAGAAGACAATACTGGGTGACAGGAGGTCTAGAACGAAGCCTTGAGCTACTCAAACATCTAAGGACTGGGTCCAAGAGAATGAACCTACAAAAGTCAGAAAAGGCATCATCAGAGATGGAAAACGAAGACCAGAGTCTCGTATCACAAAGCCAAAGGAACAAAATGCTTTAAGGAGAGAGTGGCCAACAGTGTCAAAGGCTGCTCAGAGTTAATAAAATGAAGATTAATACTGACCATTAGATTTAACAACATTAGGTCTTTGGTGACCTCAGTGAAAGCTGTCTGGATGGAGTGACAGAAGCAGAAATGGAGTAGGGTAAAGGTAAGTGGGGGAGGATGTTTTCAAAAGAGTACACCAGTCCCCTAAACAATTACTTTTCAAATGCAAACTAAATTTAAGCATGAATTGAGCTGCAAGTCATTAACTCTGCAACTGAATAGACATTTCTAGGATTCTGTAAGGCCATCTATATTCTTACCCAATTGTTTTCTTGACTTTGTTTTAGAATGAATCTCTTCTGCATCATCTAATACAAGGTTCATATACTCATCAAAACCCTAAAAAATAAGCCAAATGACCATCATCTTCAAGTTAGATAACATCCAAACCATTCAAAAATGAATATATCTATCTAGAAACAGAATGCCAACCATCTTCAGAAATTCACCCATCTACCCATCTTTCAGCTGAAGCTGGGCAGATAAACACCACCTCCCACCCTAAGCCTCTTTTTAAATAACAAAGAAAGCCAGAAGGTATTCTAAATTATTTCTCAAACCTCCTCGACTTACGAATTCATTAGCTATGCCCAGGAGCCACTCTCGCTCTCTTTCATAAGCTGCCCAATACAGAGTACATGTGTATGCATAGCAATTATATTCTACTGCCAATGCTCTCCCCTGTTTCCCCACAATATGCTATTACCACTAACCACACTTGTTTTCCAACTGGTAAATGAGGCACGGGAGATTACTGATGAAATCTAAGATGTCTTGTTCTCGTGTCTAAATGGAATACCAGAGTACCCTAACAATACTTTCAGTCATACTACATTTGCTCTTTGGAACATCATACTTATACTCCATTAATCTCCCCTTCTAATTTTATGTTTTCTTTATCTCTTCTGAGGAAGCCCTGGTGAGGCAGTGGTTAAGCGTTCGGCTGCTAACCAAAAGGTTAGCAGTTTAAACCCACCAGCCACTCTGTGGGAGAAAGATGTGACAATCTGCTTCTGTAAGGATTACAGCCTTGGAAAACCTAGGGGGTAGTTCCACTCTGTCCTATGGGGTTGCTATGAGCCGGAATCAACTCAACGGCAACTGGTTTATCTCTTCTGTTGCCTCCCCCAATACCAATATTGTTGTTTACGTAATTATAAAAACTTAATTTTCCCTCTCTTCTTTGAATTAACCAGCCCCTAACAACTAGAACAATGAAACTGGGCTAACTAGTGGGCCCTGAAAAACTTTCCTTGAGTTGAGTCTTCAACTTTTCATATACTGCTCTGCCTGGCCATTTTCTGTGAAGTCTTTTTCTAGGAACAAACTACTCTGAGATAAAATATCCTGGGTACTCACTATGATACAACCCTCTATCCGCATATTCACTTGCTCATACAGCCACACCTGAATCCGGGATCTCTGAAATAAATCATAAAAATAGAAATGTTAAAATAAGTAAACACAATCTAATCACTTTGGTTAACAACAGAGATGAACTATGACTGCTAAAAAACTATTTGATAAATATAAACCAAGGGTTTTAACCAATAGGCCCATATCTAAGAATCAAGATAGGTACTTACAAAGAAACCTTTTCACCTATTAAATGCTATATTGTGATTGTCTGGGCTAACAAATTGCCTGTGATCTTGGGACTCAATCATATTTCTTACTGCTTATAGTCCCAGTACATTTAGATTGAAAACTGGTGACAGTATAGCACAAAGCAGTAAATTCCAATGATCAAGATTAAGAGCATGTATCTTATCTGCCAAAGCAAAATCCAGCTCCAAAACAGAGCTTTCTCTAGCTTCTCAGCTTTCCATGTCACACACCTAGCAACCAGAGGAGGAACCATCAATTCTGGTGTTTAGAAATTACAATGCTTCAAATTAATCTGTTTTTCAATTGGGTTGCTTATCACACAATAAAACTTATCAGAGCAACAGGAATATTTTCTTTCAGAGATAATTTAAACGTCTGATCTGTCAACTCAAAATCTGAAAATACTGCTAAAAATCCCCCCCAAAGAAAAGCAGCTGTTATTAAATCCGTCTGAATCTACTTCTTTCCTCCATATATTTAAACGTCTTTTCTGTATTTGTTTTCCCAAAGACATTAAGCACACAATCTCACTACACGGTTACCACTATACATATAATTTTGTTACATTAAGGTGTTCTCTGTACCCTTCCCCCTCAATTATCCCTCCAACCCCTCCTCCAATTTCATCTATTTTTAACGCTAGAACACAGCGATCCGACAGATTGACACGTACAGCTTAAGAAAATCAACTTTTACTTAAAAAAACCATTATGAAACAATTAACACGTAACTTACGTACATTTTGCAAGTACCTGAAGATGAGGTTCTGCACCACAGTAGTTAAGGAAAAAAAAATACACGAATAGCACAGCTTCTGTTCCCTGAAACTGGTCATCTCACCCATCTCACCTTTTTTTTGGTTTGTTTTCTGAACGTGAGGCCTGTTGCCTACACAAGTTTAAGAGTGCCCAACAAACGACCCTCAACTGAGGTCCCCTAAAAACCCGGAAGGAATCCCCCCACTCCCTTTTTCTCCAGGAGTTTGCATCGCGCCGACATCCTCCTCCCTCAAACCGGTAATTCTGCTCTCACTCAGTACCCAACGTTGTCAACCCTCCGCTCAGCCCCGCCATCCTACATCTCCCACCAAAGGGGTCTGTCCATCCCCACCTCCCAGCCACCACCCGTTCAACTACCCGCGCTTTCTCCCCGTCTCGGTCGCCCCGGAGGCTCATGGGATGTAATCCGCACTCTTCTTCAGGCCTGGTCTCTGCCTGTTCCTTCGCCCTTCGCTTCCTGGGCTGAATCTCCTACTCTTGACATCTCGAGTAGGATACGATGGGCTGCACCATCACCTTCTGGACTTTCTGGCCCTGGCCACGGTAAGCCATAGTAGAAGCTCACAAAGACCACACTAACCCGCACACTAGCTCAGAAACCGACTTCCGAATTAAGAACCGGAAACGGAAATGTATTGTGGCCGCGCGGCGACCTGACGGCTACTGGGTAGTGCCTCTCTAGCCACGGAATGGCTTTCTCTGTGCTCTCTAGCATCCGGGGGAGGCCGAAGTGAGGGCACTGCACTTTGGAACCTGGTCCAATCCTACAGCGACACCTGGAGGGAAATAGGAGGAGGTCCCGAGGGACTTCGGTCGTACAGTGGAAGCGTGGGGAGGCAGTAGAGACGCAGGCGCCAGGGCGTTTCTGTTTTCTGATTCCGCTTTAAGAGCCATAATCGTCCCATTGCGTATCTGTCTGTAAAATGGGTTAATTTAGTGCTTTTCCTGAGGCCTAGTTTCCTGGAATTTAGGCTTGAGGGCAGCGTTGTGGGAAGAGGGTAGAGCAGCAAGAAGCCCGAGCAAACTCTCAGCCCCAGGCAATCTGAACTCAAAAGCTGGGCGCTGTGATTTGGTCTAATAACGGGTTCAACTCCTCTCATCAACACTGTGGGAGAGTTTTGTAAGGTGGCAACAGAACATGGTGATTGAGCGTGAAGATGCTGAAATACGATTGCTGGGCTCAAATCCAGCTCACTTAGTTACGTGACCAAAGACCTACCTTGTTTGTAAAATGTAAATAAAATTAATAGTACCTTCCTTACGGGTTTGTCGTGAGGATTCAATGATGTAATAGTATACACACACACACACACACACACACACACACACACACAAAGGCTTGAGTCAATGTTAGATGTTACCTATCGTTTCCCTGGTAACGGACCTATTGAGTGGGGGAACTGGAATATGAAGGTGTGCCAGACGCCAAAGCTCATCCAGTCTTTCCATTATGTCATGATGGCTTGTGGCCTGGCAGAAATTTCATTTAATTGGAATACTCGTTTTACAAATGAGGAAACTGAAGCTCAGAGTTGAAGGGAATCACCTAAGGGGATATTAACGGAAAGTGGCAGAATCAGAACTTGCTTAACTGAGGTCTTCTGCTGAATGAGGATAAAACCAGTGCCTTCCTCATTGAGGTGTTGAATGAAGGGATATGGAAGTGATTTTTAACTATAAAGAGCTATAAAACTCACGGGACAGTTATTTCTCTTAACCCCACTCCTACCCCGTGCTGTAAACAGAGTTAATTGGACGAAGATTTGCTGAATTCAAAGACAGCAGGGATAGAACACAAAACCCCCAGAAAACAAACCCATTACCATCAAGTCAATTCCAACTTGTCGGCACCCTGTATGGATAGAACACAGGAGTATTAGTATTAATACCTATTACATCTCAGATACAGATGCTTAGCTACTTGTTTTGTATTTTCCTGTTTCTGAACTTGTGGCTATTGATCCCTATAACCGCTCATGTGACTGATTATACAACTAATCAAAAGTCTTATATGGTTTCCTTTTCCTTTAACAATTAAATTTTCTTTTTTACATTTAAATCTTTGCTCCATCTGAATTTATCCTAGTATCCTTGTATATCCTCGAGATGATACAACTTTATATTTTCCTGACAGCTACCCAGTTTTCCATCACCATTACAAAAAAAAACCTCATCTTTCCCCCTATCAATTTTAAATGCCACATTTATAATATATCAAGTGTGTGTATATCTGGGCCTTATACTTTCTTCAGTTGATCCTTGTGTCTAGGGAACCAGTATCATAGTTATGAGTATTGTAACTTTATAAAAATGTTTTCTTCTTTTATAGGACTAGAAGTAGGGAGCATTTTCCTAGCTATTCTTGTTTAGTTATTTTCATATAGGCTTCAGAATCAGTTTATCTAGTTTTTAAAATCCTTTTGGGATTTTTTTTTTTTTGAGATTTTATTAAACTCTAGAATAACTAAATTAAATTTTAAAAAAATTCAAGTACATGAATTCTTTTCATTTATCCAAATCTTCCTTTGAGTCCTTCAGAAGTTTTTTGTTTTCTTCCTGTAAATCTTGTGCATTTCTTAAACTTCATCTCTCTTGTTATTAAAAATTGAGTCTTTTCCTTGATTGTATGGTCTAATGGGTTGTTAGACGAAAAATCAACTACATAAAAATTATGAAGTTTTGCATGACTAAAAAGGCACCATAATAAATAAAGTTACAAGAATTGGGGAAAATATGATATTTGCAACAAATCAGACAAATGGCTAATTTCACTAACATATAAAGAGCTCCTAAAAATAAAAATTAAAAAATTAAATGCTGTTTTGGTTCTCTATTGCTGTGTACAAAACTATTCCAAAACTTACTGGCTTAAAACAGCAACCATTTTATTATAATTTATGATTTCGGGAGTCAGGAATTTAGGCCAAGCTCAGTTGGGTAATTCTTCTGCTTCAGGAGACATGTAAGGCCTTTGTGGGTATCTTTGGAAGTCTGGCATCAGCTGGGCCCCTCTCCCTCTCTGTGTAGTCTCAGGGCCTCTCCACATGGTCTGTCTGGCAGAGTAGTACGGTTTCTTAATCAGTTTATGAACAAAGGAAATAAAATGGTCTTTAAACTTATAAACAGATGCCCAACTCCACTTATTATAAGAGAAAAGCAAAACTAAACTACATTGAAATATCATTTTTTCCCATTAGATGGCAAAGATAAAAAAAAAGGTAGTATGGACCCAGCAATTCCACTCCTAAGTATATACCTCAAAGAATTGAAAGCAAGGACTCAAACAGTTGCTTGTACACCAATGTTCATTGCAGTGTTATTCACAATAGCCAAACAACCTGAATGTCCATTGGTGGATAAACAAATGTGGTACATACATGCAATGGAGTATTATTCAGTCATAAAGAGAAATGAAGTTCTGATACTTGCTACGGCATGGATGAACCTTGAAAGCATTATGCTTAGTGAAATGTCAGACACAAAAGAACAAATATTGTATGATTCCACTTACATGAAATATCTAGATGTGATGGTTAAGACTGTGTGTCAGCTTGGCCGGGCCATGATTCTCAGTGTTTTGGCAGTCGTATAATGTGATCACTTCCCTGTTGAGATTTGATATGTGATAACCCCCATGATGGGATCTGCTGTGAGTAGCCAGTCAGTTGAAACGGAATTTCGTTGGGCGTGTGGCCAGCATCGAATATAAGTGGACATTCCGGCAAGGCTTAAGGGCTTTTTGCTTGTGCTGGATCCTGCAGCTGGCTCCTGTTCATCTGACCTCTGGCTCCTGGGACTTGAGCTAGCAACTTACCTACAGTCTTCCCTGCCAATCTTGGGATTTATCGGTCTTTGCAGCCTGTGAGCAACAGCCCTGCTCTCTGATTTGCCAATCTTGGGTTCTCCAGCCCCTGCAGCTACATGAATCAGGAGAAGCCTCTATCCTGACCCACAGACTTGGGACATCCCAGCCTCTACAACCACATGAGCCATTTCCTTGATATAAATCTCTTTCTATATATATATTTTATATGCTTTACTAGTTTTACTTCTCTAGAGAACCCAGCCTAAGACACTAGAAGAGGCAAATGCATAGAGACAAAATTAGTGATTACCAAGGGCTGGAGAGAGGGGGAAGTAGGGCATATTTTTGTTACTTAGGGTGAGAAACATTTACGCTCTCATGGAATATGCATATTGCCGGGTCCATGGACTTGAGGTGACTGACCCAGGCCATTTGCATTTAAGTGTCCTCTTGAACCTTGAAGAAACTGTTTCCTAAATGTTACCTTTGAGTCAAACAAAGGTCTAGATTAACTAATAAGGCCGTTCTGCCTTAGGCATTGTGCTCTTTTGAAGAATTCAGTCAGTTTCAGGAAACAGATTCCAAAGGTCAGACTGGGCGCTATGTTTAGGGTAAATTGGTAATTATTTTAATTATTTTGCAAGACAATGCTGTATGACAATCCTTTCAGACCACGAATCTGATTATCACTTCTGTTTCAACTCTTTTTTTCCATGGCAAGATTTGGTGTGATGGTTAAGGTTGTGTGTTAACTTGACTGGGCCATGATTCTCAGTGGTTTGGTGGTTATGTAATGATATAGTTGTCCTCCATGATGTGATCTGATGTGATCAGCCAATCAGTTGTGAAGGACATTTCCTCGGGGGTGTGGCCTGCATCCAATGTATATGTGAACCTTCTGACAAAGCTCATTTGCTTGCTGTAGATCCTGCATCCGACTCATCAACATCTGACCTCTGGTTCTTGGGACTTAAGCCTGGGGCCAACCATATTGCCTGCTGATCTTGGGATTCATTGGCCTCCTCAGCCTGTGAGCCAGTGGCCTGCCATCTTACCTGCTGATCCTGAAATCTTCAGCCTCTGCAGCCCATGAGCCAGTGACCTGCCATCTGACCTGCCTATCTTGGGTTCATCAGCCCCTGCAGCTACGTGAGTCAAGAGAAGCCTCCAGACTGACACACCTGACCCACGAACTTTGGACTTGCCAGCCTCTACAAACATGTGAGCCATTTCCTTGAGATAAATCTCTCTCTTTCTCTCTCTCTCGCTACACACACACACACACACATACATATATAAACCCCCCTCCAAAACAAAACCTGCTGCTGTCAAGTTGATTCTAACTCCTAGCAACCCTATAGGACAGAGTGGAACGCCCCATAGGGTTTCCGAGAGGCTGGTGGATTTGAACTGCCAACCTTTTGGTTAGCAGCCCTAGCTCTTCACCACTGCGCTACCAGGGCTCCATATATATGTGTGTGTATGCGTGCATATACATGTATGTATATATGTAAAACACTTCACTGATTTTGCTTCTTTAGAGAACCGAGCCTAAGATATTTGGTACCGAAAGTGGTTCTAGAGAAACAAAAATCTTTTTTTTTTTTTTTTAATTGTGCTTTAGGTGAAGGATTACAGAGCAAATTGGTTTCTCATTCAACAATTAATACACATATTGTTTTGTGACATTGGTTGCCAACCCCTCAACATGTCAACACTCTACCCTTCTTGACCTTGGGTTCCCCAGTTCCATTTGTCCAACTTTCCTGTCCCCTCCTGCCTTATTGTCCTTGCCCCTGGGCTCATGTGCCCATTTAGTTTTG